TGCCCCAACCCGCCCCGCCCCCCCTCCCCCCCCACGGGCCCTGCTCTGTGTGTGATGGGGTAGAGCCATAACCTCCCCATCAGCCCTGCCCTGAGTGTGACAGTGGCGGCGCCCCAACCCCCTGATCCGCCCTGCTCTGTGTGTGACAGGGGGCGGCGCCCCAACTTCCCTATCGGCCCTACTCTCTGAGTGACAGGGGGGAGCTCCTCAACCCCCTGATGGGCCCTGCTCTGTGCGTGACAGGGGGAGCTCCCCAACCCCCTGATCAACCCTGCTCTGTGCGTGACAGGGGGGAGCTCCCCAACTCCCTGATCGACCCTGCTCCATGCGTGACAGGGTAAGGAGCCCCAACCCCCCTGATGGGCCCTGCTCTGTGTGTGACAGGGGGGAGCTCCCCAACCCCCCTGATGGGCCCTGCTCTGTGCGTGACAGGGGGGAGCTCCCCAACTCCCTGATCGACCCTGCTCCGTGCGTGACAGGGTAAGGAGCCCCAACCCCCCTGATGGGCCCTGCTCTGTGTGTGACAGGGGGTGGCGCCGCAACCTCCCCATCGACCCTACCTTGAGTGTGACTGGGGGTGGTGCCCCAACCCCCCAATCGGCCCTACCCTGAGCGTGACTGAGGGTGGCATCGCAACCTCCCGATCCGCCCTGCTCTGTGCATGACGGGGCGGCGCCCCAACACCCCAATCGGCCCTGCTCTGAGCCCGACCAGGGGCTGCACCTAGGGATTGGGCCTGCCCTCTGCCACCCGGGAGCAGGCCTAAGCCAGCAGGGCGTTATCTCCTGAGGGGTCCCAGGCTGCGAGAGGGCACAAGCCAGGCTGAGGGACGCCCCCTTCCCCCCTAAGTGCACAAATTTTTGTGCACCGGGCCTCTATTATAAAAAATATGTTTTTATTGATTCAGAGAGAGAAAGGAAGGGAGAGGGAGAGAGAGATAGAAACATCCATGAGAGAAATATCATCAATTAGTTGCCTCCTGCACACTCCCTGCTGGGGATGGAGTCTGAAACCCAGGCTTGTGTCCTGACCGGGAATCGAACCAGTGACCTCCTGGTGCATGGGTTGACACTCAACCACTGAGCCACACTGGCCAGGATGGATCGCTTTTTATTGAAAACATCTTTCCCTCCTGATTATACAGCTATGTTCAGTATTGAAAATCATAGAAAATAAATTAAAAATTGACCACAATCTCCTTCCTTAGAGATGGAAGTTAGCATTTTATTATCTACTAGAGGCCCAGTGCATGAAATTTGTGCATTGGGGGGGGGGGTCCCCTCAGCTCAGCCTATACCCTCTCCAATCCGGGACATCCCTCTCACAATCCTGGACCGCTGGCTTCTAATCACTCACCTGCCTGCTTGCCTGGTCGCCTCTAACTGCCCCCTCTGCCAGCCTGATTGGCCCTCACTGCCTCTGCATGCTGGCCTGATTGCCCCTAACTGTCCCCCCTGCCGGCCTGGTCACCCCTAATTGCACCCCACTGCTGGCCAGGTCACCCCCAGCTGCCGCCTCCCTGATGGCCTGGTCACTCCTTACTGCCCCCCCTGCTGGCCTCTGTCACCCCTCAACTGTCCCCGTCTGCCTACCTGGTCGCCCCCAACTTCACCCCCCGCCAGCCTGGTTGCCTCTTACTGCACCCCTGCTGGCCTGGTTGCCCCCAACTGACCCCTTCTGCCAGCCTGGTCGTCCCTAACTGTCATTTGGTCATCCCTCACTAACCCCCCCTGCCAGCCTGGTCACCCCACACGGCCTGCTTATTCAGTCGTTTGGTCATCCATCACCCCCCTGCTGGCCTGGTTGTAGGTAGCCATCTTGTGAGGGTTAATTTACATATTACCTCTTTATTATATAGGATAATAATAAAAGTATAATATGCTAATTAGACCAGACAGCCAAACGACCTTCAAGATGTCCTTCCAGATGAAGCCGGGGCTGCGAGGGCTGAGGCAAGCTGCTGTGGCTGCGAGGGCCGAGCCCCTTGCATGAATTTCGTGCATCGGGCCTCTAGTCTTATGCATATGTCTTTAAAATAGTCTTAATTAGATGACTAGAAAGTAACAAGCTTAGATTATATTTTTATTTTATTTTATTTTATATTTTTTATAATTTTTTTAAAAATATATTTTATTGATTTTTTACAGAGAGGAAGGGAGAGAGAGAGTTAGAAACATCGATGAGAGAGAAACATCGATCAGCTGCCTCCTGCACATCTCACACTGGGGATGTGCCTGCAACCCAGGTACATGCCCTTGACCGGAATCGAACCCAGGACCCTTCAGTCCACAGGCCAACGCTCTATCCACTGAGCCAAACCGGTTTCGGCTATATTTTTATTAAATAGTGCCCTAGAGAAGCACTTTTAGGTAGTTCTGATTTAATGTTATGATTGTGCTTTTGTTGTGGGTAGACATAAGGAAAGATCCCCTGAAAAATTCTCCATCTGCTCTAAAGCTGTAGTAGACATTGTAATATTGTACAATTACACCATTTCTAAGAATCATTTTAGTAAATTTCTCCAGAATTTAAGGCTAGTCAATTATGTCATTTCATGTGCATTTGCATAGTCCCCTGTGTAAGCTATGAGAATTCTAAGTGTTCTCTCTCTGCCCTCCCCGTCTCTCCTTCCTTCTGTTTTCCCCACTGTAGTTTTCATAAAGGTCAAAGCTTATGCCATTTGTAGTCTTTATCTTTGGTTTTAAATACAATTCTTTTCCCATCATAACTTGTACTCCCCCCCCCTTTTTTACACTCCCTTTTAAAAGTTTATTTTTTATTTTCAATTTTTTAAAATTTATTTTTATTTATTTATTTATTTTTTTATTGCTTAAAGTATTACAAAGGGTATTACATATGTGTCCATTTTTTCCCCCCCGCCCTAGACAGTCCCCTAGCCTCCCCTATCCCCCAGTGTCTTTTGTCCATTGGTTATGTTTATATGCATGCATACAAGTCCTTTGGTTGATCTCTTACCCCCCTACTTCCTGCCCCCCAACCCTCCCCGGCCTTCCCGCTGCAGTTTGACAATCTGTTTGAGGCAGCTCTGCCTCTGTATCTATTATTGTTCAAAAGTTTATAATGGTCTCTATTATCCATGAATGAGTGAGATCATGTGGTATTTTTCCTTCATTGACTGGCTTATTTCACTTAGCATAATGCTCTCCAGTTCCATCCATGCCGTTGCAAATGGTAAGAGTTCCTTCCTTTTTAGAGCAGCATAGTATTCCGTCGTGTAGATGTACCATATTTTCAATTTTTAAAAGTGTTAATATTACACACCAACCCATAAACATCCTTGGAAACACTGTGGTCTAAATCTATATATATAAAAGCCTAAGTGACCATTTGACTGACCCATAGCTATGACGTGCACTGACCACCAGGGGGCAGACACTCTGACTGGTAGGTTACCTTGCTATTGAGGTCAGGCCAATCGGGACTGGGTGAGTGGGGCTGGACACACCCTGAAGCCCTCCTGCAGTCCCTCCCCTGCCCCATCATCGGTGGTTTCCCTCAGCCTGGCCTGTGCCCTCTCACAATCCGGGACCCCTCAGGGGTCCATGCACTGGGCCTCTAGTTATAAATAAGTTGCTCTTATAACTAAATGAATGCAGCCCTGGCCAGGTAGCTCAGTTGGTTACAGTGTCCACCAATGAGCCAAGGTTGAGGGTTCAGTTCCCATTCAGGGCACATGCAGGAAGTAACCAATGAATGCATAAATAAGTGAAACAATACATTGACGTTTTCTCTCTCTCTTAAAATATATAATCTAAAAAAAAATGAATGAAGGCAAGTTAACTGATGAACATTGAGAGTACAGCCCTTTTTGTATAGTCCTAAAATAAAATATTCTAGGTGTAAAGAATACATTAATCAGGACTGAGCAGCTAACTTGTGGACACTATATCCATATGCTTTTTTAAAAAATATGTTTTTATTGATTTCAGAAAGAAATCAATAAAAGAGATAGAAACATCAATGATGAGAATTATTGATCAGCTGCTTCCTGCATGCCCTCTACTGGGGATCGAGCCCGCAACTGGGCATGTGCCCTTGACCAGAATTGAACCCAGGACCCTTCACTCCACAGGCTGACGCTCTATCCACTGAGCCAAACCAGCTAGGGCCCCATATACTATTTTGAAAGAACAAGATTAACAGAAAAAAGGTCAAGGTGCAGGTATGCAACGAATATATTTAAAAATGCTGAATCCTAGGTGCACATGGGAAAGTGTTGCCCACAAAGGCAGGATATTAGATGCCCAGTTTAGCTGAATAAGACAACACTCAAAAAATAATTTTTAAAAAGTATTATTGATTTTAGAGAGAGGAAGGGAGAGACTGAGAAACAAATATGAGAGAGAAACATTGATTGGCTGCCTCCCAATGCACCACTACCTGGGATGGAACCCGCAACCTGGGCATGTGCCCTCACCAGGAATTGAACCATTTACCCTTCGGTGTATGGGATGACACTCCAACCAACTGAGCCACACCAGCCAGGGCTCAAAAATAATTTTCATAAAACCAAGCTTAGTGTCACTGCTGTGTTTGTGGTTTTTAAAAAATATAGAGCCCTCTGATCATATTTTATCTTTCAAAGCTGCTTCATGCTTTTAAAGTTACAATGCAATTTGATTTTTGATAAAATTGTTATATGAATGAGATATGTATATCTTGGGTGGACTTGAGCAATGGAGTCCCATAGAATATGAAAACAATAATAAATGAGTCATCCAAAAGATAATGGACGTCTCAGTTCTAGGAAAAATAAGGTGTCATTAGAAATGTTGTCATTGTCTAATACAAAATGGAATTTTAAAATTAGGTTAGCAATGAAACAAAACCTTAATTATCCAAAGTCAATTTATGTACGGAAAACACACACACACACACAGAGTACAAAATTAAAGGCACAAAAGAACCAGAATAGCAGACCAGACTGTATTAGAATATCGATTTTATTTAAATAATTATTTTCATTTTTCCTTCTGTAGGTGACGAGGACTGAACAGAACTCACCACAGTTACTTTAGAATCTCCAAAAGCATTGCTGGCGGAGGCCTGACTAGAGGGTGGCTGCTGTATCTTACTTTTCCAAGTCTCCTCAGACCCTTCAGTAGCAGGACTTGCTTGGTCGTTTTTAAAGACACAGCCTGATCCAAAGAGTTCCTCCATGAGATTGCTCTTCTTTGCTCTGAAAGTTTCGTCTTTTGCTTTTGTTCTGGAAGACTTACCAAAAGAGGGCTCGTACCCGCCCCCGGAGTGCCTGGGCGTCAGCTCTTTGGCGCCCCCGCGCTGTTTGCCTGTGCTGTGGTTGCATCTCCAGGCACCTGGTTTGGCTGGCCCACCGGACGCAGGAAGCCCGTGATGCAGGTTTTCCGTGGCTTCTGTGAATAAATAATGCTTTCTTTGTCGGAGGTGTATTTTGGTGGTGTGGGCATTTTTATTTGGTACCTCATCCGTGTCGCTTTTTGGGACACTTTTTTTAAGCTCTTCTTTTGCTGCATCATTTTCCTGTTGGCTTTCCCGTTCAGGGTGAATGACTTGGATTCTTTTTGATGGTAGTTCTTGTTCTATTTCTAAAGTGGTTTTCTTCTCTTGATCTGCTTTTTTCTCTCTCTGTCTTCCAGTATTCTCCAGAGCTGCTGGTACTTTCAGATGCTCCTCTTCCTTTGATAAATCTGTATTAGAAAAATAGTCAATTTGGCAATCTTTAAAATAATGGGCTTTTATTTCAAGATGGCATGCATGTTTGCCACACTCATTTACACCTCCTGATAAGCACATTAAAATGACATAAAGGCGAGGCAGGAAGAGCATACAGCGCCAGAATACGGAAAGGTGCTCTTAGCGGCAGGAATGTGGCACTCTCCTAATACCAAATGAGAGAAACATGAAACCAAAAGAAAAATGATATTCCCAAGAGAACTAAAAGTTGCCAATAGGTTATTACTAAAGGTTCAAACACCACTAGCTGGAGGTAGTGCCAGTTGAAACAACAAGGATATTTTTACCCAATTGGCAAGTCATTTCGAGTTGGTGAGACTATTGGGAAATTGGAACTCTTGTTCCCAGCGCGTGGTTGTGTAACTTGGTATAGCTTTATCTGGGTGGCAGTTTGGCAGTACTGATTACAATTTTGAGTGAACATATTCATAGCCTCAACAACTTCACTTCTGGGACCAAGCCCTACAAACACACACACTGGCACGTCGGGTAAGGATGTTACTGAGCATGGGTAGGGAACAGCGGCACGTCCTAAATGCCTGTCAGAGGGTCATGGTTAAATACACGATGGCATGTGCAGCCTGTGGGATTCTGGGCATTTGTGATAGAGACGACGGGGATGGACGTGCCCTGACAGGAGAGATTTCAGTTGTTAGTGAAGCAGCCACGGGAAGAAAGGCTGCCCTTTCCCGTCCTCACCAGGCAGCAGGGAGCCTGCTGTCAGCCCTCTCCTCCCGGCAGGGGGTGGGGGGTGGGGTGTTAGGGTTAGCGGGGGGGGGGGGGGGGGGAGGGGGGGGCGGAGGGAGAAGGCCTGTTGCAGGCACAGACCTGCAGCCACGACCAACGAGCTGGTCAGAGGAGGCCACCATTTACCAGGCAGAATGGCAGTCATTGTGAGGGAGAGTGGGACAGCGCTGGATGTGCAGAAAGCTGGGAAATTTCCTCACATATTCCACACATTCTGAAATGAAACTATTCACTATACTCCAAAATGATAAAAAAGGAATTCTAGCAAGAGACGAAATATGTTTCAAGAATTAGTGGTGAGCAAAGAAGCAGCAAGATGTATAGTTGATTCTAAGTAATATTATGCCCTACTGATACTTAATGCAAATGTTAAACTTTGCTAACAGGCGAAATTGCTTATTTCCCACTTCCACCGCTCCCAGTCCCAGTCCTGACCACCAGTCTCTTGCCTGGGTCATGGCACTGGCTGCGGCCTGGCCTCCCTGCCCCTGCCCTTCCTTCTCCGCAGTCAGAAGAGGCACCTCTGTTCCCGCTGGTGAAGGCGAAGCCAGGATGATGGCTGCACCCCAGAGGCAGAGGGCCACCAGTCCGTTGTGGTTTTAAAAAATATATATTTTTATTGATTTCAGATAGGAAGGGAGAGGGATAGATAGAAGCAGCAATGAGAGAATCATTGATCTGCTGCCTCCTGCATGCCCCACACTGAGAATCCAGCCTGCAACCTGGGCATGTGCCCTTGACCGGTATTGAACCCGGGACCCTTCAGTCCGCAGGCCGACAGTCTATCCACGAAGCCAGCAGTTCTCAACCTGTGGGTTGCGACCCCTTTGTGGGTCGAGCGACCCTTTCACAGGGGTTGCCTAAGACCATCCTGCATATCAGATATTTACATTACGATTCATAACAGTAACAACATTACAGTTATGAGGTAGCAACGAAAATAATTTTATGGTTGGGTCACAGCATGAGGAGCTGTAGTTAAAGGGCCAGAAGGCTGAGAACCACTGCTCTAAGCCTACCCGGCCAGGGCAAGGGCCACCAGTCTGGTAGTGAAGAGGCTTGAGCATTAAGGGCTGGTGCCACCAAGACCCCTGCTCCTCTGTGCCACTCCGCAGTGCTGCCAGGTGAGCTGGTCCTGGCCGGCTGGCCCACCACCTCTGGGAGAGGGTGCCCCGTCCCTGTGCTGCAGCCGGGTCAGCCGAGGGCTCCCATTTCACCCCCAGCGTGTTCTGCTCCGACCTCCTCCCAGCGCTGGAGGTGGGCCCTGGGCTCTTAGAACGCGAGGTTCTGAGCAGCCAGTTCCACCCGAACCTCTCCCAGACCCGCAGAGCAGCCCTGCCGCAGGCCGTGCGCGGTGGGTTCTCTGTGCCCAGGACGGTGCAGGGCCTCGCCCTGATGGGCCCTTGTACATTCGGGCCCAGAAGCCAGAGTCTGCCGGTTGACCCCTCCCTGGAAGCCTTCGGTTGGTTTCATTAGTGGCCGTGTTGCCCTTTACTCAGCTGGGCTTGTCTGCCACTCAGTTTGTCAGAGTGAACATAATGCTTAACGCAAAGACAGGGAATTGAGAGGCAACGCAAGGGAATGAACGCGGCGTCAGAGTGAAGACTGGTTGTTTCTGGTGGGCAGGGAGGGGATGTGGTTAGGAAGGGCCCACAGTGTTCTGGGGACTAATGTTCTATTTGCTAGGGCTGGTGGCTACACAGTGTTAAATTCTATAATCGTTCTTGAACAGTATATATGTCTTATGTATACTTTTATACACGGACATACAGAATTCACAACTTACAAAAAGAAAGAATAAATACGACTTAAAAGTTGCTAAATCACCTTCATATTTTCTCTTGGACTCCTCTTGGCTTGGTAGTTTACTGCCACAGTAAGGAATTACATGGACTATTCCAGTGGATTTTTCTTTATGACCAGTGTTTCCTGTTATCTTTTTACTCTGGAATTCAGAAAAGCAGCAAAAGCTCATCTTTTGGGTACAGATAATTTTAAATTGTATTTAATTCAGTGAATACAAATACTTTTTTGTATAGATCAAACTACTGTAGCCTATTTTGGAAAGACTAGTAGCTCTGCCCACAAATCCGTGTGCTCGTAGCTCGCTGCCCCACCCTCCGGTAGCTCTCGGCCGCTTGTAGATCTGTCATGTTACGGCATCCCGTCTAATTTGCACATTCCTCTATTATTATATTAGATATGTTTCATTAGGTGTTTCAAGATTTCAAATTTGCTGTACCTTAGTCGGCAAAGATGGCACATCTTCTGATTTTTGGGTCCCCTGTTGTCTTGTACTTGTAAATGGAACATTTTTCCTGTCTGTCTGCACTGATTTTGTTGAAGAAACTGCAGAACAAGTACGTTACATGTAAGAAACATGTCTGACATTTGGAAGCAATATTGATTGGAAGTATAAAATAACTGACACTTTGCAGCATAATGAAACCAAGTACACTAGATGCTTTCTAAAACCTTTCCATCTATGTGTAACATTTGCCACTATCATCTTTCTCCTACCATTTCACTTTTGTCTTATTATGGGTATCCCAGAGGCTGAGTCCAAAGCAAGCTGGCATTAGATGGGTCTGTGTGGCTGTTCGAGGACAGGGCTGTCCCCGCCTGCAGCCAAGACTCAGAACTCAGACATGCAACCACGAGAGCGATCACTGCCAGCCGTGTGGGAGCTCCTGCCTGCTGACCGACGGGTAGGTGGCCCAGGCGAAGGGGCGTGACCGCTCTTTCTCTCCCATTTAAACGACCCCATGGGTGATTTTACCATTTTCTCTGCTGGCTGTTATTCTGGAGTATAAACTAGAGGCAAACAAAGGAATTTAAGGAAATGTGAGGTGGTTGCCTTTAAAAGAGCCCGGCTGGTGTGGCTCAGTGGTTGAGCACCACTCTATGAACCAGGAGGTCACGGTTCGATTCCCAGTCAGGGCACGTGCCCAGGTTGTGGGCTTGATCCCCAGTAGGGGGCGTGCAGGAGGCAGCCCATCAATTATTCTCTCTCATCACTGATGTTCTATCTCTCCCTCTCCCTTTCTCTGAAGTCAATAAAATACATGAAAGACCAGTAAATGCATAGTTACTTCTCCCGAAACAGGGTGAGTGTCTCTAGTGTGTCCCTTCCGAGCGGAATGTTCCGCTGGGAGCCCTTGGGTGGCAAGTAAGCACAGCTTGTCCTGAGGGGGAAGTACTGCTCAGGAATAAAAGTGACTGATGACAGTAGCAGCAACATGGGTAAGTCTCAGAAACATGGTGCTGGACAAAAGCCAGGCACAAAAGAGTAGCCACTATGACCCCCTTTGTATGAAGCTCTAGAACAGGCAAACTACGCTGTGTGACAGAAGGGACTCAGCGGAGGCCTCGGGCCAGGGGTGGGGGACTACTGGGCGCAAAGTGGGCACCAGGGAACCTCCCCAGGAGAGGGAACTGCTCCATGTTTTGACTGTGGTGGTGGTTACATGGGGATCAACGTGCATTTGTCAAAACCCACTGAACTGCACTCTTAAAATGGGGCATTTTAGTGAGGTAAACTGTAATTAAATAAAGTTGATTTTTATTTTTTAAAATTTATTCTTTAGATGATTTTTAATTGATTTTTAGAGAGAGAAAGGAAGTGGGAGAGAGAGAAACATCATTGTGATAGCAGAACTTCTATTAGCTGCCTCCTGCATACCCCCTACCAGGGATTGAGCTGGGGACCCAGGACTGTGTCCTGATCGGGAATCGAACCAGCACCTTTTCAATGCACTGGATAATGCCCGACCAACTGAGCTGCACTGGCCAGGGATAAAGTTGATTTTTATTTATTTACTAGAGGCCCGGTGCACGAAATTCATGCACTGGGTGGGGGGAAGTGTCCCTCAGCCCAGCCTGTACCCTCTCCAATCTGGGACCCCTCGGAGGATGTCCAACCAGCAGTTGGACATTCCTCTCA